ATAATCAAGAACTAAGGTAATACACTAGTGTCGCTGACTAACAAAATCAACTTTCAAGAGGTCACCAAACATCCAAATGACCAGATTTCAAGACGGCCTTGATTCATCTTTTCCAAAGATCATTTCTGAGCCATCCCATTTACATGTCCACATCGTGTAGGTGTCTTTCTCTGACTGACTCAGGACGAGCGTGGGCAGGAGGCCCCTCAAGAGTCTTCTCCTTGGGGTTCAACGCTGTCCTGGAAATAGGAACTCCACTGTCATTAAGAAGAACCATTCCGCCGCTCTGGAGTGGCTGGGCCACACTGATCCCAGGCTGTCTATACACAGGTAAGGATTCTTAAAGCCTACACCACTTCGAGACCACAAACTCTCAGTTCTTTAAGGGCAGTTATGAGCTGCCCCTACCAAGGACTGGACAGAGTAAGGAGACCTGAAGCCAGATCACCAGGGAGAAGGATCCAGCCTGACCTTTTAACCTCCATGACACTCAGTTTCCTCACATGGCAAGTAGATAGGTGACAGCAGTACTTAGCCCACCGGGTCACTGTGAGTGTTCTTCCAGATAGGACTTAAAGGTAGGCACCTAATAACAATGAATGGAGTGAGTAAAACTCAAAAATGACTTGTACAAAATTATGTTTTGGCATACATATCCGTACAGATGCGTGTGGACCTATAATTGCTTCTCCTTCCCCCTCCAAAGTGGTACATTGTGTAATCTGCTTTCCTTACTTACCATTATTCCCTATCAAAAAATAGGCTTCCACACTGCCATTTCCAGTGATTGCAGAGTATTCCACTGTATGGCTATACCATAAGATACGTAACCAATCCCCCGATGATGGACTTTGATTTGTTTGCAAATTTTCACCTTTATAACTAACGCTGTGTTAAATATTCTTGAACATCAAATGTTCTGCAACCCCTGCCATTTCTGGCTCTCCTGGATGCCGTACTTCATTCAGGAAGAAGTTGGATGCATGTTTACAACATGGCAATCAATGGCACATTCTTCTCTGAGTCCTACATTAATGTAACTTTCCTAATCTCTACAATAGTATTTACTCATATGGAGAACTACCTCAGTATGTATTTTAAAAGCATTTCCCGAATCTGCCGAGGAATACTCCTCAAAATAAAATAAACATGCTGAGATTTTTCAGAAAAAAAAATTCTCAGAGAAAGTACAAAAATAAAAGAAGTTCTTGCTACCTGTTCCTAAGTTATAACCGCTGTCTGGGATTTCACCTCTGTCTAGTCTCAGTTCTTGAAAAGTTACTTCTCACATGAAGCCTTTCTCAACTAAGTGGATAAAGGTTTTTCTACTTTCATTCCACAACTGCAATTCCCATGATTTCAAGAATCACTCTTTTTTTTTTCTGCACAAAAAGTCCATATTTATTGGGTTTTTGTTTTGTTTTCGATCTTATTAATTTCTACAATTATCTTTATCATTTTCTTCTACTTTCCTTAGGTAAACAATTCTTTTCTAGCTTCCTGAACTGTATGTTTATCTATTTTCAATCTTTAAAAAAAAAATACATGCTTTCACAAGCATATAGAGTTGTTCAGTCACTATGCTGTGCACCTGAAACTCATGTAACATGTGTTAACTATACTCAAATCGGGGCGCCTGGGTGGCTCAGTCGTTAAGCGTCTGCCTTTGGCTCAGGTCATGATCCCAGAGTCCTGGGATCAAGCCCCGCATCGGGCTCCCTGCTCGGCAGAAGCCTGCTTCTCCCTCTCCCACTCCCCCTGCTTGTGTTCCCTCTCTCGCTGTGTCTTTCTCTGTCAAATAAATAAAATCTTAAAAAAAAAAAACCAAAACTATACTCAAATAAAAATGTGTGAATAAAGTAAATGCATTCAAGGCTCTGCGTCTGAGATTAACAGTTCAGCTGCATCTCATAGTTTGGCATAGAGTATTTTTGTCATTTTGTTCTAAGTACTTCAAAATTCTCATTGTGATTTCTTAACCCATGAGTCTCTTAGAAGCATATATTTTTTTAGATTCCAAATGTATCCTTTATCTTTTTATTGTTGATTTCTAATTTAGTTGCCCTGTAGGCACGTCATTATCAGCTGCTAGGTTAACAGTTTTCGGAAAGTTCTGAGATCCTCTGATGACCTCGTACAAAGCCAAATTTGCAAAAATGTTCATGTCTCTTCAGCACAAATTCTGCAAAATCACATTGCGTAAATCTTCTAAGTCTCTAATCTCTTTTTTATCTGGCATATTCTAATAAAGATGTGCTAAAATCTCCCATTATGAATGTGGATTTGCCAATTTCCCCCTTAAATTTTGCTGTTACATGCATAATTCATGATTTTTATGTTCTTTGTGAACTGTTCTTTTACTTCTGTCGTGACCCTCTTCATCTCTACTGATACTGAATTTGCCTTGAAGTCTGTTGTTTTCTGACCTTAGTATTGCTACTCTGGCTTTCCACTGGTTGGGATTTGATTGATACGTGTTTTCCCATGCCTTTATTTTCAACCTTTCTGAGTCACTTTTTGAACTGTGTCTCTTCTAAGCAGCATACAGCTGGATTTTTTTTTTTTTTTTACAAATCCAAACTGAAAGCTAGTTTCTTTCAATAGGTGGGTTCAATCCATTTAAATTTCTTTCTCATAATCTCCTTTCCTATCTTTTCTGGTTTAACAGAAAGTACCACTTCCATTTTTTGTTCCCTTTTGCTTTAGGTCGTATTTCCATATTTTAACAATTTAACCTATCAACACTGTATGTAGTGCATACCTATAACATTATAACATCATCCCCTGATAACCCCCACTGCCCGTCAGTTTCACTGTTTAAGACTGATAGAACTAAGTTAGCAGTTAGAGGAGCAGTCGGTGCTCTGATATGGCTAGGGATAGAGTTTTTTTCTTTTAATGTAAACCATCATCACTAGATATACTGAAATCTTCCCTTAATTTTGGTGACTTTCAGATGAGATCTGTGCGCAGAGACAGTCCTATCGGAATGTCATTTTTCTTCTAAAAATAACTTCACAGAAGTTATTGTTCTGCTCTCTCTAAGTTTCATCCAAAGCTCAGCCCCATGTAAGGAGTTTTATTGTAGTTTTCCACTTTTCAACGTAGTACTTGAAATTTCATCTTAACAGTATTTAACACAAGAAAAGAATTGGAAATAATCCAAATATTCATCAAGGAAGTAGCTAAGCAAATTATGCATTAATACACTGGAATACTGTAGAAATATCCAATGTCTACGTGAGATCTACATATGACAAATACATAGATTACACTGATCCATGAACATGTTAAGTGGACAAGGCAGAACACAAGACACCACGTGTGTAATGCTCACTAGCATGTGAAATGTTGGAATGTACACTGCATGCCTCAGTGGAGTATTTGGGGAATGATCTAGCTCAGAATTAATCTTAACCTTTCCCCCTGACACAGCTTAAGTTTTTTTCTTTCTTTTTCGTCGTTTTTTGTCGTGGTTGTCGTGGTTACCATCTTCTTCTTTTTTAAAAGAAAACCTAACTTTCAGTTCCTAACAAGGCCTTAGCTTGTTTCTCATACTTTTTAGGTTAACACAAATCAGATCACTGTGGTAAATTCATATTTCACTAAATAAATGTGTGACTGATTTCATTTCCTGGCAGTGATACGCATTTGGACAAAAAAAAAAAAAGTCCAACTGAAATTCAATTTAAAAGCAAAGTTTTACTCCCGTCTGAAATGTGGGGTGCTGCACACAATTTTGTTCTTAACCAGTGATTCAGGAAAAAAAGGGGGAAATTTCTGCCTAAAGAGTTAGTGCAACCCCTCTTGTCACAAAAATATATTTGCTCTATTTAGATGGTTTTGTTTCCTTTGCCAGGGCTTTGCCAAAATCACCAAATTGTGAGTAAAAACATAAATCTGATTCTTTGTTCTTGTTACTATATATGTAAACATATTACATATCACAGATTTTTCTTTCTTTTTTGGGGGTACTTCTTAATAATCCCCTTTATCTATTTCACTATACTCCCCCGCCTACTTCTCCTCTGGTAACTACCAGTTTGTTCTCTGTATTTATGGTTCTGTTTCTGATTTTTTTGTTTCTCTTGCTTTTTGGACTCCACATATAAGAGAAATCATATGGTATTTATCTTTCTCTTGACTTCTTTCACTTAGCATAATGCCCTCTAGATCCACCCATGTTGTTGCAAATGGCAAGATCTCATTCTTTGTTATGGCTGAGTAATATTCCTGCATGAGTGTGCGTGTGCGTGTGTGTGTGACAGTAGTATCTATTCACCTATCAGTAGACACTTGGGTTGCTTCCATATCTTGGCTGTTGTAAATGCTAAAATAAACATAGGGGTACATATATCTTTTTGAATTCATGTTTTCATCTTCTTTGGGTAAACATGCATTAGCGGAATTACTGGATATATGGTAATTCTATTTTTAACTTTTTGAGAAACCTCCATACTGTTTTCCACAGTGGCTGCACCAGTTTGCATTCCCACCACAGTGCACAAGGGCTCCCTCTCCTCTGCATCCTCATCAACACTTGTTATTTCTTGTCTCTTTGAAACTAGCCATTCCGACCAGTGGGAGGTGATACCTCACTGTGGTTTTGATTTGCATTTCCCTGATGATTAGCGAGGTCGAGGTCGAGCATCTTTTCATGTGTCTGCTGGCCATTTGTAGGTCTTCTTTGGAAAAATGTTTATTCAGGTCCTCTGCTCATTTTTAATCAGATTATTTTTGTTTTGAGTCAAATAAGTTGCTTATATATTTTGGATACTAACCCCTTATTGGATATATCATTTGCAAATATCTTCTCCCATTCACTAGGGTGCCTTTCTAAGGTTTTGTTGATGGTTTCCTTTACTGTGCAACACATCATAGATTTTTAAAAATTATATAAATCTTAAAATTTTTTAAAGTTAGATCTATAAAAGGCATTTATATTGCTTTTAGCTAAATATGGTTTTAATTAAAAGTACTCTCCTTGGTTCTTCCTAGAGACTGTGAACACCAATGATGGATACAAAACTGGACAACAATTTTACAATAGTCTTTGCAGCTTCTCAGGGCAACGACTGTGATCTCTATGCACACCACAGCACAGCCAGGATACTAATGCCTCTGCATTACAGCATTGTCTTCGTAATTGGGCTTGTAGGAAACGTGCTAGCCTTGGTTGTCATTATTCAAAACAGGAAAAAAATCAACTCTACTACCCTATATTCAACAAACTTGGTGATTTCTGATATACTTTTCACCACTGCTCTGCCTACACGGATAGCCTACTACGCCCTGGGCTTTGACTGGAGAATCGGCGACGCCTTGTGTAGGATAACTGCGCTGGTATTTTACATCAATACATATGCAGGTGTGAACTTCATGACCTGCTTGAGCATTGACCGGTTCTTTGCTGTGGTGCACCCTCTGCGGTACAACAAGATGAAAAGAATTGAACATGCAAAATGCATCTGCATATGTGTCTGGATTCTAGTATTTGCTCAAACACTCCCGCTACTCATAAAACCTATGTCAAAGCAGGAGGAAGAAAGGACTACATGCATGGAATATCCAAACTTTGAAGAAACGAAATCTCTTCCCTGGATGCTGCTTGGTGCATGTTTCATAGGATATGTGCTTCCTCTCCTGATCATTCTCATCTGCTACTCTCAAATCTGTTGCAAACTCTTTAAAACTGCCAAACAAAACCCACTAACTGAGAAATCTGGTGTAAACAAAAAGGCTCTCAACACAATTATTTTTATAATTGTTGTGTTTGTTCTCTGTTTCACACCTTACCATGTTGCAATTATTCAACACATGATTAAGAAGCTTCATTTTCCTGGTCTCCTGGAATGCAGCCAAAGACAATCGTTCCAGATCTCCCTGCACTTTACAGTATGTCTGATGAACTTCAATTGCTGCATGGACCCTTTTATATATTTCTTTGCATGTAAAGGGTATAAGAGAAAGGTTATGAAGATGTTGAAGCGTCAGGTCAGTGTATCAATTTCCAGTGCCGTGAGGTCAGCCCCTGAAGAAAACTCGCGTGAAATGACAGAAACTCAAACAATGATACATTCCAAGTCTTTAAACGGAAAGTAAAAAGGAATTAAATCTTGGGTTTACAGCAAAGTAGATTGTATGACAAACTTTGCCGGACTTTTCTCATACAGCAAAATGATTGTTCAACTTCCAATAAGGATTCATGTAAATTCCTTTCGTTGGGCATTAGCTCCCACCTCCAACTTGGAAGAAAACTGATATGTATTATTTTTTACACTCAAGAAAATAACATAAAGCAAAGTTCTAATTTGTAAGTGAAATACTATACCAAAAGGGAGGCTATTTTAATAAGTCTCTGTAAAGTTTTATAAAAAATTAAATTTTTTTATAAAAAATTAAAAATTACAGCATCAGTATTTCCTGCCAATAATTTGGCAAAAGAAAAGGCTGTAAGATTGTATACTGCCCATGTAAAAATGTCAATATTGTAACATGTTTCTTTCTTTTTGGTAACATATTTCTTTAATCCCTATTTCTTTCAATCTTAAGACTTTTATCTCCTCAATAACATCAGCATTTTGTTTTGTTTTGTTCTGAGTCACAATATTTTGTTTCAAAGAACTCTTTTGGAATAAAGAACAGGATGCTACAAAATTAAGAGTATGTCTTTCAATGCCCACTTACAGGAAGAACAGAATTAGCAATAGATAGATTTGGATGATAACGTTGTAAGTAATGATGGTGATGGAGGCAAGGAAAACACCGAGCTCTTTCCCAAGCAGCCCCCAGAGTAGTGAAGCGCCCACCAGTCAGGCATATGACAAGGACTTTATGTGGAAGTACCCACTGGGAGGAGGGTCCACTTGAATTCTGCTTGGAAACAAAAAAAATTTGCAAATATGGCTTTTCTTGGGTGCCTGGGGGATCATTTCTTTTTTATTCATAGGTTGGTAGGACCCTGATCTGCATTTCAATGGTTTGGGTTACCAGAAAGGGCAACGGGGCTGAAGGGCAGGAGGCATAGTTGCTGCTTGCCTAAATAAGACAGGGGGAAAAATGCAAAATTATGAACTTAAAGAGTTCCCAAGATTCTGTGCAACGTTATACATTTGCTCACATAAATACCTTAGCATGAACAGTATGGCCTTTGCAAGTATAGTCACCCTGTCTGCCAGGTCAAATTTGTTTTACTAAATCCCCAAATTACCTCAATACAGTATCTGTGTTAGCAATAATACCAATTTTGATAATGGAACAGAAAGAAATGAAGCACTATATCATGAGTTCATACTTTAAATTTTTATTAGGCTTTATATCCTGGAAATCTTTTCTTTTGAATTCTTATCCTACTCGTTTCCAACTTGTACCCTGTAAGAAAATTAATCTTTATGGCTGAGTCAACACCATTTACTGAGTACTTTCAGATTTGTATTATGTGAATTTCACAAAGAGCTACAGTGACCTTGAAGCCAATGACCAAAAAAAGGCACTGATCTTTGTAACAGATCTTTGACAAGACAGGTGAGACTGCGTGGATGGAAGTCAGGATCTTAGGGCCTTTCCCTTCACTCCACACACGAACCCCCCAAGTGAAGGAGAAGAAAGGGCAGAAGACTACATGTTATGCAGGGTGGCACTTACATAGTCATTTGAATTAGATCCCAAAAGGAAAACCGTAATGAAAGCTACTAAAGGAAAATCAGAAACAGAGGCCACTGTAACTTCAGAGCATCGCTATGGTGCCTGAGTTTGATGACGACACCGGAACACAGACTAGCTTATGTATGAGCCAACATGCTGCTTCACAGCAGATGAGAAAGTCCTCTCTGTGCTAAGGATCTTAAGCTCCTTCAAACAAGAAAGTATCTATGTCACTTGGCAAAGGAATAACACATTCTTTTATCTGTTTAGTTTTCTGCCTCCTACCTCCACTGTACCCCAAATCTATATAAATGATTTTCTTCAATCAGTAGTCATAGTGCCAAAAAGGTAAACTTTAACCCTATCTCCAACTAATCCTAAAAAAAAAAAAAAGTCTGTACTCCAGAAAAACTCAGCTATTCACTCTCCTTCAAAAGGCCCTTACTACCTATTTCATTCATGAAGCCATGGTTTACACATGGCCTCTGGGCACCCTTACAGTGTCTTGGATTATTAGTTGGCTTTACATTTATTTCCCTCATGGAGTAGGTAACCTTGGAGAACAGGGACAGTGTTGTAAATCTTTGTATTCTGTTACAGAACAAAGGGGTGGCCTTATATACAACACATTGTTTGAAAATCACAACCCTCTAAGTATTTTCTATATGAATCAGGTGACACATTATTAATAATTTTAAATAATAATCGTGAGCTAGAAAAACTTATCTAGGAAAGCTGACGGTTATATAGCAGCTAATCATATCTACCTCCCCATAATTTTATTTTTTTTCTAAAAGGATATTTGGTTAATTTAAAAAAAAAACCTCAAAGCTATTTAGTGTGAATCAGTATAAATGCATCAATTCTTCAATGATAGTACAGAACAATACAGAGAGTGCAGAATAGTAAATGTTAGATGTCAGAAACGATATTAGGTACATGTGACAAACTCAAGAACTTACAAAATAGTCTATACTTCATGTAATGTCTTCCTTTCCATATTCCTGTGAAACAGGATAAGCACATAGTATCACCTATGCTTTATTAAGAAACCGAAGTTCCGAAGAGGGACCTGGTAAATGAGAGGCAACATCAAGACTGTTCCATTATATGCAGCAGACCATCTAATCCTTAAACAGGACAAAAAGCCAGCAGTAGGTAGTTGATCAACTTGGCCAGGCTGTGAGTTCCATGAAGACACGGATGTCATCTGCTATGTGCACAGCACCTAGTACAGAGTCTGGCACACAAGAAGCTCTCAAATACCCATCTAAATGAATAGCACCTGTTTTGTACTATAACTAACAAAATTCTAAAGCCCTGTTGAAATATCTGTAAAGTTCTTAATTTCTCAATAAAATGACATACCTTACATGCTTAATTACATATACTAGAGCATATATACTAGAGCATGTATGTAATTGAAGACTGTGATCCTCTAGGACCCTGCAATTTAGGCATATAAAAATAGAGCTGATTACCCAATGAGTCAATTTAAATGTAGATAGATTTCTGCTCGGAAATAATTTTATATTTCAAGAGGCAAGGGCAGTGACTCCTACCAATCAGTAAAAACTACCAGGCAATTTTAAAAGGGGGAAGCACTGACCTTAAATTAGCTCTCAAAATGGTCTATTTTGGTCACTCTTTAGCCCATTGTAATTTGTTATTCTCTGCAAAGCTAAAAACATGTCCTTATTGACTACTGAGGTCAGAATGAAAAATGAAAAGCTGATTGGTGACAACATGGCCTATTCTGAAGCCAGGACGGACTAAATGCACTCATGAGAACTGCTGCCAACGCAAGTCTGTTTTACATCAAAACTCTGAAATAAATGATCACTTAAAAGATAATCCCCAAATTTCTTCTAAAATAAAAGCTCAATTAGCTAAGGACATTCATTGACTGCTTCCTACATGCCACTTTCCCACGTACTTGACAGGCATTATTTCACTTAATCCTCCTTGCCTTAAGAGATGGGGACAATTATTATCTCAATTTTGCTGATGAGGGACCTTGAGTGCCAGGTCACGTGCAGAGGTGGAATTGGCATGAAATCCACACCATCGGACCCCAGTGCCTGGAGGCTGACTCAGTGCAAGGATGTCTTTCCCCCGGCCCCTCAACTACTGTCAGAAATCAGCCTTCCTTCCAGAAGTTACACTGGAAGCCAGCAGAGTAATAACACCACCACCAACACAAATACATGCTAATAGTAACATGGCATAATGCTTGGAGCAATATATATACTACATACACACATATATATATATACACACACACATATATATAATCTCTCTACAGAAGCCATATATATATATATATATATATATACATATGTAAAATCTCATTCAAACCTCATTAATACTTCTGTGAGGCTCGTCCCATCACTTTCCCTGTTTTATAGACAAGGAAATGATATCCCAGAGAAACTGAGTAAAATGCCCAAGGTCACACAGCTGTAAGTGGGGGAGCCAAGCTCTAAATACTGGCAGTCCAATTCCAGGGTCTGCACCATTAATCTTAATCACTGTACTATTTGTATTAAACAAGCAGAATTATGGTCCAGGTCCTCAAAAGAGACACTGTTCACCAAATACCCTCCAATTCCCTTAGGGGCATATGTGACTACTTCTGGCCAATGGGTTGGGGGCAGAAGTGACATATGTCACTTCCAGGCTGAAGTGTTAGAGAGCGGTGAGATATCCCATTCCCCTCTTGTCTCCTGTCACAGTGACCAGAGATGTTCTAAATGGTGGGAACCTTTGTTAGCCTGGATCCTTGAATGAGTAAGTGGAGAACTCCCCACCTCTTACCCCAACCACTCGTGTTGGCCAAGTAGCACAAATAAGAAACACACTTACGTGTTTAGCCACTGAGATTTCAGGGTTAATTTGTGGCTACAACATAAGCCAGCCTTCTGACTAATACAGTATTTAATCTACTTGGAATGAAACAGACCAATAAACAGAACGTAAGAAAAGAAAAATGCAGACTCTATCCAGTTCTCCTGGCAAACAAACATAATCTTCCTTAATCCCACTTTCATTGTGTCATTTCATGCTCCAGGATTGAGAATAGTTCCCCATGATCTACCACACGAAGTCCAAGTTCCTCTCCCACACTTTCAAGCCCCTGAACCTAATTTCCCTCTACTGCCCAACATGTACCTTTCAAGTTAGTCTAGCTGGTTGTTTCTGTACCATGACTGTAACGAATATTTGGTTCCCAATAATTGAATTATTCTGCTTCCCCTATTTATTCTTTACACTCACATCCCAATCATACCTCCTCCTTAAATTCTTCTTTGACTACTCACAGCCACCCATCTTCCTTTCCTCAACTTATTTGGATCTTACATAGTCAGTGCCACATAGTTTTAACTTTAGATGTATATTATCTTAGAATAAAAGAAAAAAGAAAACACACTGGCCTGGAAACCTGTGGCCCAGTTGTGGTCTGACTTCTAATCAGCTACATCACCTCTTTTAGCCTTTCTAGATTTGTTTTCTTATCAATGAAACAATAGCATGAAATAATGTGTAAACTCTTTGCCAACATCACACAGCCCATGGTCGATTACTTCACGTGCATTCACTCTTACATCCCTCACCCTAAACACAAGCTC